CGAGCAGCACTCCTCGGCGATAACGCTCCATCGTCTCGTCAGGCAGAGTCGCCCAAGCGAGAGCGAGCATGAGTAGAGGTGATATGACCCAGTTGATAAATATAGACATTGCCACGTGTATCCACAGTTTCAAATCCTTGTAGAAATCAGCAAGTTTCTCCCATTGGACTTTGGCTAAAGCTGGCCAAATCATGAACAGAAGGCCGACAAGGATGGGTACAGAGACACGCTTCCATTGCGCTGATTCGACGAGATGTTCTCTCACGCCATCCTCCGCATACACACCTATTATCACGCCGAGGATCATCGCGATAAGGACAAAGAGACCGAGGAGCTTATCGAGTATCGACAGTGACTTGAAGGGGCTGCTGCTGGGGTTTTTGGGCTGGATCTCGTTGTTGCCACCATCACTAACACTGAAGCTGTTCAGCCCAGCACAAAAATCGCAGTCTTGACAATCTGAATCGAATAACGGACATTGACTAAGAGCGCTCTTCTCAGCCTCCTGGTCACATTTAGTATCTGAATTTGGACAGCAAGGGGTGCTTTCCACTTTCTCGGCCATCGTCCTCGAAGAAGACGCACGTGGGAGATCAGATTTTGAGAAAACAATTGGAAATTTATTATATACTACTATGCATGGTTATCAAACCAGTTTGAGATGGTTGTGGAGACGCAAGAACTGGTAGCGCTAGATGAGTGTATCAAAGGTTCATTACAGGGATAATATTGAGTTTCAGTTAGTGCTCATTCCTCAGTAAACCATGGCTCAGCGCACAAACATCTTGTGGGTCTCAAGAAAAGATTGATGAGAAGAGGGTCTTATAGTGTTGCCGAGCGCTAGATTAGATGCCTTTAAGTAAGCAAGCAATAATCTAAATAAGCCGATGCAAGTACAATGGAATGTAAAGTTACATAAAATTTTACCATTTCCTGTTTTGTCTAAATGGTGCTGGAGTAAGACTAATAATGTCTTTCACGTGTTCAGTCTTTTGTTTTAAGATTTTTTATGTTCTCTTTCTCTTTCTCCTCTTGAGAGAGCAGACGGCCCTTAATCTCCTTTTCCTTGCGTTCACTCCATCTACTAGCAAAGAGTTCATTTTTGTCGTAGAACAAACAACTGACTTTGACGAATTCTTCACAGACATCAACAAGTCTATCACGATTACTTGACGGAAGAAAACGACCTTCTGGACTGAAAGCAGTCCAAGCTTTCGGTAAAGAACTTTGATTCGCAATTGTATGCATTCTCATCCATCTACCTAGCAGTCTGGGGAAATTGTTTTGTTAGCCTGTCTGCTGATGTAATTTTACACTCACCTTAGTGTATTGACTGCATTGAATGATTGTGAACCGCCATTTACTTGAGCAACAGCAAGAATCTTGCCCTGTGTAGGACGAACTGAACCAAGTGATAACGGAACGTGATCTATTTGTGTTTTCATTACACCTTAAGAAACGTTAATGTCTCAAATGAAATCTCATCACACCAAAGCTCACCTGTAATCTGACCGTGCTGTTCAGGGGAGACCCAAAAATTAGAGTCACTCCAGGAGATAAGTTGACGGAGCTCCTGGACCTTGAAGGCGAGTGAGTGATAGAAACAAACCAAAAGAAAAACGTCGTACCTTCGGATGATTTTCAGTCGAATCATCTTTCAAAGGTAAGCCTGAGGGATTATAAATCCTAATATCTGCACCTAGGTGCTCAAGTAATCTAGCAAATTCAAATGACAAGAGTTTTGAATACGATCTGAGACCCAGATTTAGACATTGAAAGTTGAAATGATGAATTTACCTCTGACGAAGACTACCATATAGAATCAATACTTTGAGTTTTTTTGGTAAACTTTCGAGCATAGTACGAGCCTCCCTAAGCTCATCTCCGCCACTCTGACTAGCAATTTCAAATGTCCAATCATCCGGGACTGATCTAATTCCAGGTTGATTCAAGCCGCTTAAATAAGGTTTGAATTCTGACATTATTCGTTTGCTGAAATTTAATATGCTCTGGTGCATGCGGAAATTTACGAAAGTTCCATCTCGATTTCAACTTCTTTGCCAAGCGTATAGAGATTTTTAAAGTGGAAATTCCATCAAGGAAATGTAATAATATCAAATCATGCAGGCAGAAGATCATCCAATCAACTTTTCAAGCTGGTGGCATGTTTATGGTGAACCAAAGGCTACATTCAATATTATCACAGTTGATCAACTCTCGAAGCTATATTACAGTGAAGAGATAGGGAGGGATTTTGTTGTCATCGATGTGAGACGATCTGATTTGACTGAAATGATTCCAGGCGCAATCAATTTACCAGCACAATCACTTCCACAAGCTCTTCCAAGTTTGATATACAGCCTGGGAAACATCGATAAGTTTATATTTCATTGCAACTCTTCAAAAGGCAGAGGTCCTAGAGCTGCTGGTTGGTTCGCAGATGCATTGAACAATCATGTGAAAAGTGTTGACCCATCTCTTGGTACTCAAGGTCGTGTTTTTGTACTCGAAGGCGGAATAAATAGCTGGAAAGAAAAGTTTGGAGCTCAAAGTATCGAGGATCGCGGCAAACCATGGGATCATAAAACGATGTCATCCGTACAATTGTAATAAGATGTTTTGGTTGAATGGTTATATTTAAAGTAACAAAGTCATTAGGCAGAGCCATATCAAATTACTTGGTTTAATTTTTATCTAGAATGAACCCGTACAATTGAAATATTTCGATTTTTTTAGCCGTGTTCCAGAAATGAAGCAGTCTTCTCGCCAC